GTCATTTCCTCCATTAATTTGCCCATCTGGTCTGTCAATTGACCAACCTGACGACGCAAATTATTTCCCCCATTGCCGTTTTGTCTTTGCCCATTAGAATTTGGCTGGGATGGCTGAGACTGTTGGGAGTTATTGGAAGCAGATTGGTTGTTTCTGTTTCCATATCTCCTATTTCCCTGAGGATTCCTTCTCCATTGGGAATTGCCTTGGTTTTTATTAACCCAGGGGCGTTTATTCCCATTGGCATTGGATTTTTCAGAGTTATTAGAGGAGTTTGCAGAATTGCTTCTGGCATTTTCCTGTTTCTGAGGTTTTGGAGTTTTCAAAACCTCGGAATAGGTCCTCTTTTTCTGTTGGGTTTCTAAACCTAACTGAATTTTAGTCTCTGACACCATTTTATCACCAGGTTTCTTAACCTTTGGCTGATTTTCGTCATGTGCATGGTGTATAGTATACAATTTCATGCACTGACTGACTAGCCATTCTAATGGTAACTTACAATCGTAATCTCTTGCGAGATTCATTTGTATGTTTACTGGCATGGCATGAAAATACAGATCTTTGAAGTCTGTGCTTTCATACCTGGGTTTCCTTTGGGCCACGGAGTATGCATTTTTAAGAATTATTAAAAATTCTCTGGGGCTTTGATCTGGACGGCACTTTAAGTTATAAAGCGCCTTCTTAGCAGAGGCAATGGTTTTATACTTACCATATTCCATGATTATTTCATATTTCATCTTGGACCAGGACATTAACTGTATAGCTTGAAGACTTTCTAGATAAACACGGCACATTGAATCAAAGGTCCATGTAATGAACCATTTCTTATGAATGTCATCATACATGCCCAATGAATTCATTGCTCTATCATAATTTTCCAGATGTTCAGATATGTTTCCTGAACCTCTAGAAAATTGTGGGACAGTCTCTCTAAGGAATTTGATGACCTTTGGTGTTTCATAAACAGGCGTCGTTGATTTACGATCTCTGTTTCTGTGTTTGGGTAAACGTCTATGCGATCTGTCTGCTGAAGAGGAATTAGACCCGTACAACAGTGCAGATGGCATATCAGTTACATGGCCTTCAGAGTGGATAGTGCAATCACTTTCACTCCCATCACTCTGAGCTTCTTGTTCACTGTCACAATTCTGATCTGCATCAGAGTTCTGCCAGTGTACAGAACCATGTCTGTTTTCATTCCTATCATCTTGAATTGGACTCTCCCTCTCAAGTTTGGCCAAGACAGCTTTTTCAAACTGTTCTGCCCAAGATTGCCAAGATGGCTTGGTAATGTCATGAGATGGGGAATCTTGTTCCACAGGTGATTTTTTAGAATTACTCACACCTTTACTTACAGACTGTTTTATGAAAACCTGGTTTGGTGTGGGAAAATCATAATAAGGAGGGGATTTACAGATAGTCTTTTCTTGCATTTTTGTGCAACTTTTTGGCACAGAATGATGACTACCAACCTCACTGTCTAATTTCTGACTCTCCTTTTCATATTCATCCAATTGCATTTTAAGCTGATTTATTTCCTGTGCATATTTATCCGTCAAAGCTTTCATTTCTTTTTCATGATCAGCCTGACGAGTTTTATGCTCAGCAAGTAAATCTTGGTATTTCCCATTTTGAATGCCCAAATCGTCACTGTACGTGTCCAATTTGGCATTCAGTGACTTGTTTTCATCACACACCTTAAGAAGTGCTGTCATAAAGAAAGGCCAAGAGTGTATTATGTACGCCATTTTCCTTTCTATGTTCTTTTGTTCAGCAATTTCTTTAAGATATATGATGATGTGTTCATCAGTTAGAATGGTTTGTTTAGCTTCCCATTCTATGCTTTTCAACCAAACCTCATAGGTTGCATCATTTTTCATATGTTTATGAATATGAACTAGAGCATGTTTTCTTAGGTCTTCAATTATTTCAGTATTATCTGTTACATATGTATTACTGGATTCAGCCATATTTCTATACAGTGATTTAATCTCAATATAAAACTCTTTTCTATATCAAAATTAAATTGCATGAATTACACCAATATTATTATATATGAAATACAATTTCAACTTAAACGATCTCAGCAGCGTGCCTCCAATATTTGTGGATATTAATGGGATAATAATAGTAAACAGTTGAGAATTGCCCACTAATTCAATTCTCAGATCCCAAAGAACGTGTATCGTGTTAAGTGGAATGTATTTCATATAATTGATATCACAATGTATAAAAATAGATTTTATTTATGATAACCAATAATTAACAAATAATATTATGTAACATGCATGACAATAATCAATGAATATTCAGTATAAAATTATATGCAGTACAAAGAAATGGGTATTACGTTACAATGGCTAAATAGCATTTCCTGTCAAGAATTATTTATGACTATCTTTAACACAGGCTGAAAGTGAAACTTTTCACAGGGAAGAACAGAATTCCTCAGAGTGCAGCATAAGGTCGTAAAGTTTAGCAGACAGTTAGAATAACCCTTTCAATGCTGGCTAGATCTCCTAGGTAGTTAAGATCTATTCTTATGTAAATTTTAAATAAAATAACATTTAAACCATTTCCTGAAAACAATCCAATAAGAGAATCTACATATTATATAAGCAGATTTTTAATTTGTCTAAAAGATATCTATCTTAATTTAGAGCAAATCAATACACCTGGATAAAAACAGCGGTATGCTAACACGTGATAATATCACATCAATATATAATTATTCTTAATTCCACCTGCAGAATGGAATATTTATAACTATATATTCTTAGTTAACTAAGATTTCTTAATATGGAAATCTGACCGTGCTTTATCCAGTCATATATAATGCTATTAATATAATTTAATTAATTTAATTAAATGAACCAGTATAATTACCAGTTGAGTAGATATTTCATCCGATTGGTAGTCTCTCTGCATGGAGGTGTTGGTTAGAAAGTCAGTAAATTCTAAGTGTTAGAGTTTTAGGAGTAGAGTGTTAGTCTCAGATGTTGTCCGAGTTGGAATCCCCAAACTTCCAATTCCTCTCTCCTCTCCTTTGCATATCTTGCATCTGCCTCCTCTCGTGTATATCTCTATCTTCCCTTTGTCTTAACTTTTAAAGGGCCAGACTCTCTGTACGTCATCAGTTGATAACCCAATAGAAGCACTAGAGGTGTGGTTATCTTCCAGATCGCAAATTAGTTATTTGGTCTGTAGAGGGCAGTCTTGTCCCACTAAACATACCTATCCAGGAAAGAGTTAACTTTTCCTGGTGGCTATTTTGACGTCATTTTGGCCTATCTAGATAGTGGCTATAACTTACGTATCCTTCAAAGATCAAAGGGGTTCTTAAATTTTGTCCAGACTATGTGTCTGCTCATCTGCTATAATTTCTGATATGACAGATCATGAACTAAGTTTACCCTTTTCCATACAATGGTACCTTATATGTATAGACAGTTAAATATTAAATTATTTAATCTTCTCTGTCACAATTGTCTGGGTTTAGATTTGATTATATTCTTCTTATCACTTGTTTATACTATGCTATACATTCCTTAGCTCTGGCAAAGAGGCCAGTCTTACAGAAAGAAATCCTGTGTCTCTTTGTCTTTGTTAACTTGGAATAACAAAATGGAGTCTGGTCTGTTCAGAGTGACTCAGAATATACACTTTTAGTTTCTATCATAGCACAAAATGTCTGCCAATATAAATACTCTGACAGCATGCCTTGGGGTGGGTTTGCCATATTGGGGGTGCCTTGGGGACTCGGATGTGAACAACCTGCCCATCATACGTATACTTAGCTTCTGCATAGGTTTACACAAGATAAGTCAGAGGGCAGCCTGCAAATACATATCCCGTGAAAACCTATGCAGAAGCTATATCTGAGGGAAGCCTGTAGAGATACAATCCATGCTGGAGAGTTTCCTCACACCGGGCGTTATATCGCCTCCTTCAGTGAAGTGACTCACGTTCTTATATTGTGTTGGTTTTGATTTGGTTATGCTTTTTAATTTTCTTTTTAAAACTTTGATGTTAACGTCCCATTTAGCCACATGTTTTAAACTATTCAGCTGTCATTTTGAGAAGATGTTCAAGGAGGTTATTTATGCACATGTTTATTTTTCCATCTGAGTCTTAATTTAATGGGACTTGTCCTTACGCTCTGCATCCCTGTATGCAGCAAATATAATATTTCCCATTATGCCCATACGACTAGCTAACGAACGCACTCTAGGTCACCAGCCCTGAGCACCCTGGCGCTTAATTATTGCATGTCATGTTTAGTTGGTTTGACACTTATCATTTCTGTTAACGTGGTTTAACCACAGTGCACGATACACAGGCTTCATAACATATGGTGGAATGCCTACGCACACAAGTTTTTAAAGAGTCCCACATTTATACTCTGCTTCACATTTATGACGGATCTCATACTGATAAATAATTTGAGCATTGGTACTAGATTATACTAATGCATAGTCCCTGACTGCTGATTTGGCGACCTCTTATTTAAGTTCCGACCACTTATTGACACGTCTACGCGACATTTAAAGGGTCTTGACATTGGAATGATAAATATATATAAACACTTGTTCAGCCCTATTGCTCCTTGCTCCACCTCTAATGATGCAATGTGTTTTTAATGATAGCAAACTATGCGTATGCTTGTTAAATGTAATTGATTTCGTTATGCCTACATCTTTTGACTTCAATGCCTCCTCGTAGGCAACCATGTGCCTTATGTGGTAAGCTACTTAATGTTTGCATTTATTCTGCAATGAAAAATAACAATAAAACCCATTTAAAACAAATGCGGCAAGAATATTCTAAAAAAATGAAATCACCATATAAAATATGGATGGACTATTTTACTCACAAACATAAATTAATAGTAGGCAGAACAAATCAATGTATGGTGAACAGATCTTCTTTCTTCCAGATCCCAAATTCGCAATAGCATGTAGGGAAAGAAAGGCAACAAATACATGCAAAACTGTATAGTAGTAAACACAGCTTTGATTAATATTGCACTCACCAAATTCCGCTAATGCACAGATGTCTTCAGGGCAATTAAATCCATTTGTCCGCTAATGCACAGATGTCTTCAGGGCAATTAAATCCATTTGCAGTAATAATTCCATTTGTTCCACCTTCTATTTAAAAATCCCTTTAGGTGCCTCCCTTGGACCGCTCCAGTGGAGGCACCATTCGTACTTACGCCTGCATCAGGGCTCCATGCCTCATTCTGAGTGTGTGATGTAATTTCTGTTCTGGTAGCCATGTTTTCTAATGTTCTACAAACCGAGAAAGGGTTTCACGTCACATTTTGTTTTCCAGCTTCATTCAAGAAGAAAGTCCATAGTCCCAAAATGAGAAAATTACTGTTAAAATTTATAAAACATGCAAACAGTATAAAAGAAGAAAGAGAAAACATACAAGAATATAAGATGAAAAGGTACACCAGCAATGATGATAGAGCCCCATGTAATTATAATTATTATAAAAAATGTAAAAATAATATTAAAAAAATATAAAAAATCTTCTTTTAAAAAACCTTCAGTGTATCCCTTCTCTAAATTTTTTTTTTTTCAATTTCAGATTGTTCTATAAAATTATAATTACGAGTGAATTCAGGGAGCCAAGGAAGATGGTGACTACTATTAATATTAATACTACTATTAGCATCGGTAGGTTTAAAATATGTTTGAGTCTTAATTTCTGAATTTTCAATAAAAATTGTTAATAGAAATTTAGATTTGACATTTTTTATTGAAAATTCAGAAATTAAGACTTTGCCCTTTTTTTCCCTACATGCTATTGTGAAATTGTGATCTAGAAGAAAGATCTGTTTACCATATGGTGATGTGTTCTGCCTACTATCAATTTATATTTGTGAGTGCAATTACAAATAAATCCTTATTGTATATAGTGTTTTAGTTGAATTACACTATTTTTATATTATAAATTTATAGTTTTACACCTCAAAATTTTCTCTTGGAGCAGCTCATTGTATTTCTCAGATGGTCCCTTGTATTTTGGCCTGCTTTCGGGCAGTTCCACTGGGCTTGATTACGCTATCTCCAAGGCCCTACCATATACCTCCCTCCATTCTGGACTTATTCCTCAGATCTCCATTCAACATACGGTAAACATCACACATTCACTTATTTCTGCCTCATATCTCCACTTCCTTTTGGACAAGTCCTCCTTTAAACTCTAAAACTGCCATAATCTGTTTCCTGTGAAGCTTATACTCCTGATTCAAACTGCTGTTTCAAACTATGTTGTTTTGCCCTCATATACAGGCCACATTACTGAATGGTGTTTCTGTAAAATCTCCACATTAGTGAAACCACTCTGTATACGTATACTAGAGTTTATGACAAACACCTGTACATATTGTATATGTTCTGCCTGCCTTATCTGTTTAAGTGATACCATGATGTGTTCTACTGATATTCCTAAATTTGATGCTCCTCAAAGTTTGTTTCCATTTTCTAACCCTGTAAAGTATTTTTATTTACTACTGAATTTATAGTGTCCTTTCATTATTGTTAATTACAACACCACTACCACCAAAACACCTTTGCAAGAATGTGTTAATGTGTGTGTGTGCGACTTTGCACATCTGAGTGTTTTTGAATGTGAGTGCTTCTGCATGTGGGAGTGTATGTCAGAGTGTATTGCCAATTAGGTAAGAGTGAATGGCTTGTAATACACTTATCAGCCACAATATTAAAACAACCTGCCTAATATTGTTTAGGTCCTCATCATGCTGTCAAAACAGCCTTGAAGATCTCTGAACGTGTTTTGTGGTTTCTGGCACCAAGGCATTAGCAACATATCCTTTAAGTCATGCAAGTTGATAGTTGGGACCTCCATGTATTGGATTTGTTGCACATTTCACAGAAGCTTAATTGGATTGAGATCTTTCCAAATTTGGAGGCCAAGATAACACCTTGAGCTCTTTGTCATATTCCTGAAACCATTCCTGAATCATTTAGCAATGTGGCAGGTGCATTATTTTGCTGAAAGAGGCCACTTTCATGAGGGAACAATATTGCCATAAAGGGGTGTATATGGTCTGCAACAAGGTAGGTGGTAAGTGTCAAAGTAACATCTGCATGAATTTCAGGACCCAATGGTTCCCAACAGAATATTGCCCAGAGCATAACACTGTCTCCTCTGCTCTGCCTTCTAGTTAGGTATATGTGAGGGGAAGGTCAGTTTATGTGTGTGAGCAAAATGTCTTGTGCAAGCCCGGGCTTGGTGGGTGTAATGCTCTTGGAGAAATTTCATTTGGAACTCAACCGCAGATTAAGAAACAAATTTGATACTGTCACTTTAAGAAAATATAATTTATTTAAATGAACTAATTTCAGCTTTAGATTACTTTCCACAGAATGCAGATTACGGTTCTTTGCAGTATGAGGAGAAGGCAGGACACAAAGTTGTAGTCTGTTCCTTTCTCAGGGAGAGTAGAATTAGCTTTGTCAGAATCAAGTCAAGATTCGGTACAGGAATTCAGAAGAGACGCTTCGTCGGCAAAGTATCACGTATTCATCCGCTTACAAAAATGTGGTTAATGACATTTAGAGGAGATTGCCGACAAAGACTTACCCAAAAAACTTAATGAATTTATCACTTTTGTCATGCAAATTGATAATAGATTGAGAACCAGAGAAGCTACTAGAAACAAGACCAGACACATGAATATACCTTTAGCACCCCACTTCTACAAGCCTATTGTCCCTGAATTTCCTGTACAGTCCGAACCTGAACCCATGGAGTTGGGGGTCACTAGACTATCGGAAGCAGAAAGACAATAAGGAGAAAAGAAGGCCTATGTCTATACTGCGGTAGAAAAGGACATATAAGAAACAATTGTCCCATACGTCCGGAAAACTACCACACGTTAAGGGGACAGGTCTTAGGTGTAATGAAAATGTCCTCTGGAATGGATAAAAATAGGTTTCTCCTTGATATTACTATTGCCTTTGAAAATAAGAACTTTTCGTGCAAAGCCCTGATGGATTCAGGTGCCGCTGGAAACTTCATTGTCGTTCAATTTGTTAAAGGTAATACTATACCTATCAAGGAGAGACTACCACCCCTAGCTGTTGAAGCTATTGATAGGAGACCACTCTCACAACCATTGATTACACACAAAACCTTACATAAGGAAGAGATTACATTTCAGGTTATTGCATCCCCTTCCTGTCTGATCATATTAGGCTTTCCATGGCTTAACAAGCATAACCCTCATATTGACTGGGCTAGTGGGGAAATATTAGAATGGGGTAAGGATTGTTATGAAAGGTGTATATTGAATCTTGTCAAAAGAGTGGGCACTATTGGATTACCCACTCAAAAACCGGAAATCCCTATACAGTAACAAGACATTAAAGAAGTATTCAGCAAAACTCAGTCAAATACTCTACCTCCTCACAGACCTTATGACTGTTCTATTAATTTACTACCTGGCACTATGCCACCTAAGGGAGCAGTCTATGCCACCTGTCACCTCAGGAGAGTAGAGTAATGGAGGAATATATTAAGGATTCATTGAATAAAGGCCACATGCGAAAATCATCCTCGCCTGCAGGGGCAGGATTCTTTTTTGTATCTAAAATGGACGGTGAGTTGCGCCCATGTATCGATTACAGGGCATTGAACAAAATCACCATTAAGAACGCCTACCCCATTCCTCTTATTGCTGACTCCTGGCTTTTCCTTATCGTTGTGTCTCTTTCTGTTTCCCTTGACCTCGGCTATTCCTGACTATTCTTTGGTACGTTAGTCCGGCCATTCTAAGGTCCGGTATACGTTACCTATCAGTCCTCTGTGTTACACAGTTCTATGTGCTGGATCATTTTGTAATCCTGACACAAAGTAGGTAGTCGAGAGACACAAACAATTGGGAACATATGTAGCATAATACACACAAAACATTGATTGAGCACTTTAGACGCAAACGCGGTTTCCATATGAAGGGAAGCGAGTAAAGTCAAACGCCTGGGCGGAGACTGATCGGTGAAACCAGGAAGTAACAAGGGTATTGCCAATCAGGCCGAAAACCACATGGAGGAATGCCCAAAGTAAAAGGAGGGATTCTGACAGGGGCAGCAGTGTCCTTGGACTAAGGCAGAACAATTTCTTGGGCCCTGGGAGTGGCAATAGAGCAGCTAAGCTCTCCTTGGAATATATCCTTACAGCTATTTTGTCTAGTAATTAAAGTTTTAGTATTATAGCTTTGTAGTGGTTTGTACTATTATAGCCTTGTAACAGTATTTTAAAGGGGTAGGTTTGGAAAGTGAAAGAAAGGACCCTTATTCAAAGGGTGAATGGGAAAATGTCAAAGGTACACAATAGTCACCAAAACAACTTTAGTTTAATGAAGCGCGTTTTGTGTATCATTTATGCCCCTCCATTCTAAATTAATTCTAAATTAAACAGAATTTGCAATAAACATTAAACATTAGCTGACTCTTTACAGGAAGTGTTTAGGAAGGCTGTATAAGTCAAATGCAGGAAGGTGCAACTAGAGTGATTTAACTTTTAAACTGAACTGAGCTAAAGTTTTTCTGGTGAGTATAATGTCTCTTTAAGGTTAAATTGCACTGATGCTTTTCGTCTGCTCTCTGTAACCTCCTCCTTTGGCCTTACGCAATGGTCCAATTTAGCAACCCATACATCGGGAAACACTCTTGATCTCGCCTTCACCAACCTATATACTGCCTCTAATCTCTCAATATTCCTTTTCCTCTATATGTCCACCATCTGCTGACTTTTGACATTGGCATACCTAAGACCCAATTGACACCACCGTCTGAACATCACTTTCACAGAAACCTCCAATGTCTTGACCTAGAGCATTTCTCCACTAATCTCCAAACTCTCCTTTTACCTATCTCAAACCTCACCTGTCCTAGTTCTGCAAACTCCTTCTACAATTCCACCCTCTCTTCTAAACTAAACATCATGGCACCTGCTACATTTAAACACCGCAGGCGCCCCCAACAACAACCCTGGCACACCAAGCTCACTCAATACCTCCAAAAATGCTCCAGAACTGCTGAACGCTGTTGGAGAAAGTCTCACTGTGTGTCTGACTTTCTCCACTATAAATTTATGCTGAGCTCATACAGCTTGGCTCTTTCCTCTGCAAAAGTAAATTACTTCAATACCCTAATAACCACACTCTCTCACGAACCCAAATGACTATTTAACTCTCTTCTTCGCCCTGTTGTTCCTCCTTAACCTACTAACTTGACCGCCTCAGACTTTGCAGCTTACTTAACTGACAAGATCTCTACAA